TTTGCTACTGTTATGAATCATAATGTAAATATCTGATATACAGAATATCTGTTATGTGGCCCCAATGGGGTTGTGACTCACAGCTTGAGAACCACTACGCTAGAGGAAAAGACTCAATGTTCTCCATAAGAAAACTGCCCAGAATGCAGACACCACTGTGATTCCCTGTGAGAAGGTGAAGAACAAGAGAATGTGACCCACTTTCTAGATGTATGGTAGTCCTGAAAAGCAGACAGGCCAGCCTTCTTGACTGTATGTTAATGGCTCACAATAATAACATCCATAACAGAAGCATCAACAGATAGCGATTTGTTTCATTACAGGAGTCTGAAGAGCATTTTGAGATTTTCAAAACACTTTGATATACATCATTGTCTTTGCCCCTAGGCCTTTATCTCTGGAAGGATGATGAATGATTAAAATGAGGGAAAGAAACAAAATGATGAATTAAAAATGAATGAAGCATTTTAAAAGGACAGCATGAAGACAGAAAGAATTAAACTGATTTTATCAGTACTAAGGAGACCCCAGACTCTAACATCCAGGTGATGTTAGGGAAGTTCTCATGGACAAAGTTCAATTTCTTAAGCTCTAGACTATTCATCTTTCCTGCTATTCATCTTCCCTCAAACACATCATATTTACTCCCTTAGTCATCTTCAGCATGTGTCTCAGAATATGGTTCTCCCCCTCATATCTCAGTCATCCATACCACAAGCCTTAGACATCACCTTAGACCCTCTTCTCCTATCCCCACAATTACAGATTTCTGTAAATCTGTCTATGGTATAACTAGCATAGGGTGTGCCTGCTGGTCCTGGATACTCTGTAGCCAAACTCTTAATATCTTCTCCCTCAACTGTCAGACTTGGCTTATCTGGTCATACCTGGTAGAACAAGAATACACCCCACCTGTCTTCACTGACATGGCTACCCTGGTATCTTTTGGGGGCTTAGCTGTCCTTATAACTTAACCACTGCCAAGCTTCTGCCCCTGCCTGTCCTGTCTTTTCAAAGCCAGCCTCTTCCCCCACTGCCTAGAACAGAGTTTGGCTCATAGACGAGAATGTGTGAGCGTTTGATAGAAAGGACAAATGCAGCCATTCATTTATAGCTGGTCTCCATAGTTACTACCCAACCCCATACTTGAGAGGACACTCGTGAGCAGAGGAACCCACCCCCAACCCAAGGCTGGAAACTCCTTCAAGGCAGTGGTGAGGTGCCCCTTTGAGCCAGGAGACTTAGCTCTATGCACTTGTATGCAGTGTAGCCTTGAGCCAATTGTCTGAGTGTCAGTCTACCTCTCAGAGCTCAAGTCACAGTCAATGGGTCTACTGACAAGGGCAAGCCAATGTGTCACATATGCTTCTGCTTGCATGTGCAGCCATGGGAGCCAGGACCTCTGATTGATAGGCCTTACTCTTGTGCTTTCTGGTTCATTGGGTGAGGAGAGACTAGGCCTGGGTTTACATTGAAACTTACTTCTTTTGGGCTGCTGTGATACAATACCATACACTGGGTTATTTATAAATAACAGAAATTAACTTTTTACAGCCCTGGTAAAAGCTGGATTCTAGGCCATAGACCCATCTTCTCACTATGCCCTCAGATGGTGAATAAGCAAGAGATAACTATGGGGCCTCTGTAATAATGCTATAAATCTACCCATGATGTAGTTACACCAAAGGCTCCATCTCCTTTAGCACCACATACAGACACAGGTTTCAACATAAGAATCAGGGTAAACAAAGTACCCAATCTCTAACAATATTGATGTCCCTGGTCCAGGAATCCCACACTGGGAAATGCTGCTCTAGTTGTGCCTAAGGACACTGCTTGCTGACCCTGTTTTACTCAAAAAAGCATCCTATTTCAACACCCAAACTTCATGTTTATATCTTACCCCTTTTTATTTTTCTTGAATCTCTACCCAGTCCCTCTGGGCAGAAATTATACTTTCCACATTCTGCACTCTCTCATTTTCTGTTTTGCAAAATAATGAGTACATTTCCAGTGTGATTAATAATAGAATAGGGAAAGGGGGAAAACTCCCAATACCACTGGTAATAAAGAGCATCTACAAATGGATACCAGCCCTAGACTCTCTTAAAAATTAATTATGAACCAAAGAACAGTCTACCATCAGTGTCGATGGAAAAGATTATTTTCTTTATGACACACTTTGTAGAATTTGAGATTTAAGTCTAACTTACTTAAACACCAACATTTCTGGAAATATAATACCACAAACAACATTTCAACTCGTAATTTTACAGTGATAGTCAGACCATTGTGTCTGTCACATGTAAAAGCCATTATACAGCAGTAGCAACTGTCTGCACTAGGTTATAAATTTTTATTGAGACGATCATCCCACGATTGAATTTCTAAGTGCATTATATGATCATGAGCAAGTAAGTCCATGGGGGCTTTGAAAGTGCTCTGAATATCATTTCCAAAGATCAAAGCCCCTCAAAGCCCTTACATTTACGTTGCAGAAAAAGAGAAGCCTTATCAACAGGTTCAAATCACTTATCTTTATGAATGAATATTACATTGCAGAGTTGAGGTAAGGAATTACCTGGCTTAATAACATATCCTTCTGTCCTTTGAAAGCAGTCAGTTTCATAATCAGGTTTCAGTGAGAAATTTTACCAAAGACCTGCTTAGAAAAATCATCGGGAAAATGGACTCTCTGTTCATCATAGTGGTTCGATAATTTTCAAAGGAGTAAGCCTGAGCCATAGAAATATTAGTGATCCTTAGTTTCTACACTAGCAGGAGCACTTCTGAGACACTTCAGAATGTCTGCTGTAAATTCTGCTCTAACACTCAAACTGGTTCATGAACAACTGAAAATTCAAGTTTGTTCCAAAGCAATTGATCTATGAGGAAGCAATGTAAGCACAGAGTAAATGCTACATCAGCTTATATGTGATGTGTCCACAGAAGATAAAAGTAAAGTAAAAACTCCAAGCCACACAGAAATACAAACACATACACATATGCTTACATACACGTGCACAAGAACACAGACACAGACACACACCTTTAGCACCAGACTGTTCCCTCAGTTCACCACGGTTGTAAGACACTCCCATTTCCACCTGGTGGGTCCTTTCTTCATATTTCAGATGGCTTCTTCCTGCCTCCTAGCCTGTAACTCACAGGCTGCAAACTCCTCCCTCTACTTATAAAAGAAAATACTGAGCTTTCTGGGAGGTGCCTGCTGGATGCATTATAGCATTTTGCCCTTTCTGATCCACTTGATGTCTAAAATTTTGCTCACTTGCTCATTAAGTAATTTTCCCTTTTTCATGTGTTACTAAGGAAGGGAGGAGTGCCCAACCCCTACTTTTTCTCCTAAGCCCTGTGTTCTTTATAGCATAATACATCAATGAACAACAATTTCAGGGCCACAACTGTCAAAGTATAACATGCCTGATGTTGGATAATGCTCTTGTACACTGTAAAGATTTGTCATTCATATTGGTTTAGTAAAATGCTGATTGGCCAGTAGCCAGGCAGGAAGTATAGGCAGAGCTGCCAGACTAGGAAAATCCTGGGATGAGGAAGGCAGAGAGTGAGTCACCAGCCAGAGGAAGCAAATTGAGAATGTCTTACTGAGAAAAAGTACCAAGGCATGTGGCTAAACATAGATAAGAATAATCGGTTAATTTAAATTGTAAGAGCTAGATAGTAATAAGCCTAATCAGCAAGCCAAACATTTTATAAGTAATATAAGCCTTAGTGTTTTTATTTGGGACTAAACAGCTGTGGGACCAGGCAGGACAGAAACTTCCATCTACAAAGGCCTGATGCAACAACCTCAGCTGTGTCCCATGTTGGAGCATTCATGGATTCTTCACTCCTACTTTAGAAGAATTTCTGCCTCATTTTCCCTCAGAAGTCCTTGCTGGAGGCTACATGAAGCCTGGCACCACAGCAGTACGGGAGCCCTGAGCTCAGCATGTGATAGTAGGACCACATACCTCTCTACTCATCATGGTGTAACCAAAGATCCAGAGCTCTGGAGCCACAATACCCGAGTACAAATCCTGACTGTACCACTGGCCACTTCAGTGAACATGGATAAAGTTAGAAAAGACTGAGCCACTCTCCCTTGGTGTAAACACAGAACAAAAAGCACTTGCAGGGAATGGTATTTGAGGGTGACGAGATGATGTGGGGTTTAGAAAAATGAACACCATTCTCTTTTAATTTCATGGGTTCCATTCAGAGATCCAATCTTAGCCAATAAGCAAAACCAAGAGGCCTCAGGGATATGTTATATCCAGAGAACCTTCTCAATCACACACATACCAGTCATGCTTAAGCAGGAACATCAGGAAAACAGTTGGAGCCAGAAATCCACAGTTAAAGTAGAACCCAGAGACAACCCAGGACTGTCCCAAATAACATTCTTTAGTCAGAAGTTTTGAGCCCCCAGAGGATATGGAATCTGGATGTTCTCAGGGACCAAGGCAGTTTCAGAATCAATTCTGAGACACTGGCAGAGCCAGGAAGCTATAAAGATGTAACTGCTACAAGGATCTCCTCAGAGACAAAGCTAGAACCAGGAAGCACCAGAGCAATGACCAGATCCAGGGATCACAGGCCAAACAAACTATACATATTAGATATATAACTGGAACCAAAAACCTGAAGGGCTATAATCAACAGGAGGACTTTAAGGGGTACAATCAGAGGCTAGATCCCTTGGAGACACAGAACCAAAAGCCCTCAGAGACATGCAAATGGCACCAGGATTCCTCACAATGATGGAGCCAATGTCCCATCAGAAATACTATCAACACCATGAGTGTATCCATTACACAACCAAAGACAGAAGGTTCTAGAATCACATCCGAAGCTGACAGTTTCTCTCAAGTCCAAGCAAGCCCTTAATGGTCTTTTCCAACAAAGGAAGCACATTTGCACTAGAGAAACCTGTGCCCAAGAGGCAAGAGGAGGGCCAGCATTTGGAGGGACATCCTTACCAGCACACTTGGTCCTGGTGGTAAGGGGAGGCCCTGGTGGTCCTGTGCCTCCCTCGCCTGGTCGTGTGAGCAGCACCCGGATCTCATACTCCACATCAGGGTCCAGATGCCAGAGCTTGTAGTTGGGAGAGTCCACGATGTGGGTCTCGGCCCAGGTGCCTGTGGTAGTTCGGTATTCTACTTCCTTCAGAATGATGGGGCCATCTCCAATGATTGAGTTGGCATTTGGCTTAATCCACAGGTAGGTGGCCCCCACAGCCAGCAGTTCCGGAGGAGCAATGGGCGTGGGAGGCTCTGTAAGAAAACAAGCAAGGGGATTTCAGTCTAAGTGGTTTACAAAATGCAATCTAAGCATGTAAGGAAAAGTAGCCAAACTTCTCAACAAAACCCTAGAGAGGGCTGCCAAGATGGCTGGGCAGGTAAAGAAACTTGCTGCCAACCATGACGCCTTGAGATGGATCTAAAGGACCCATATGGTGGAAGGAAAAAACAGACTCCCAAATTTGTCACTGTCCATTTGTATCCATTTGTAGTATGTGCATCTCTCTCTCTCTCTCTCTCTCTCTCTCTCTCTCTCTCTCTCTCTCTCCTCCCTCTCTCTCTTTCTCTCTACCCATGTGCTACCACTGAGTATTACTTACGTGAATATGTGTTTAGGAATGACTAGTTGATTGTATAATCTGTCAGGGGCTGATTCTCCCCCTTTCAGCAGCCATTAGTTGCCTGTAGTTATTCATCTAGGGAGTAGAGTCTTGTGAAAATTTTCCCATCCATGCTGTCAAATCATCTCATGTTGCCATTATGTGGGTATTGTTTAGGGGACCACATTATTGCAATTTCATGGGTGCAAGTCTAATACATAGAAGATACTATCTCATATCAGATCCCCTCATCCTATAGCTCTTACAACCTTTCACCTCTTCTGTGATTTACTTTGAGCCTTAGTTGTAGGGTTCACATTCTAGATAGATGTATCAACTGGGGCTGGACACCCCATGGTCTGCACTTCACCAATTGTGGGTGTTTTGGTTAGTTTTATGTCAACTTGACACAAGCTAAGGTCATCAGAAAGGGAGGATCCTCAATTAAGAAAATGCTTCCATAAAACCAGGCTGCAGGCAAGTCTGTAGGGCATTTTCTTCTTTTTTTTTTTTTTTTGCTTTTTAAAATTATTTTTTTTACATTCCAACCTCAGTTCCCCCTCCCTTCTCTCTTCCCGCTCCCCCACTCTCCCTACCTCCCACCTGCTCCTCAGAGAGGGTAAGGCCTCCCCTAGGAAATTTACCAAGTTTGTTCCATCATCTCGTTGAGGCAGGACCAAGGCACCTCTCCACACCCCACACCTCTGTATCTAGGCTGAGCAAGGTATCTCTCCATATAGAATGGGCTGTAGGGTGTTTTCTTAATTACTGTTTGCTATGGGAGGGCCAAGTCCATTGTGGGCATTGTCAGTCCTGGGCTGGTGGTCCTAGGTTCTATAAGAAAACAGACTGAGCAAGCCAAGAGAACAAGCCAGTAAGCAGTACTCCTCCATGGCTTCTGCATCAGCTCCTGCCTCCATGTTCCTGTCCAGTTTGAGTTTCTGTTCTGATTTCCTCCAGTGATAAGCAGTGATGTGGAAGCATACGCCAGATAATCCTTTCCTCCCCACATTGCTTTGGTAATGGTGTTTCATCACAGCAATAGTAACCCTGATTAAGACAGTAGGTTTCCATCTACTGCAAAAGGAATTTTCTTTGACAGGGTGTAAGAACAAAACTTGTCTGTTGTCAGAAAGACACATATTTTGAAGACAGTTAAGCACTATCCTGATCTAGTGGCTGTAGGAGGTCTTCCTTTGGAGTCCACGATGTCACTAAGCATTGATAGCTGAGTAGGTGTACAGTACCATCTATAAATTCCCTCCTATTAAGGAGCCTTAAGTCCAATTAGACATCTGATGGTTAATCCCAAGATATCATTGAAACTATTGTACCACTGGTGATATCTTGTCAGGCTGGCCATTGTCATGGTTAGTAGATAGCTGGCTAAAACTAGGGCTTGCTTTTCTACTGTGGCAGCTTGAACAGAACCTTGGGATGCTGTGAGAACGAGTCCTCAGGGAAGAGGATTTCAGGTTGGTTCCACCTCAGATTACACACACTGTCAGCAGAAAACCTCTGCAGATGGTGGGAGGAACACAGATAGGAAGAGGATGGGGCAACAAGAATTCAGCTTCTCCTGCACACTGACAGGTTCCTGCCAGCAGTGAGTGTCCTTGACTAACAGGAACATAGCAGGAATCAAGGACCAAAGGAAAGGTCATACCAAGTTCTCTGATAACTGATCTATGTGGCACCTTCCTTAGGCAATATATATTTAACCAAATAGATAAAACCAAACTCACAGAGCAGTGAAAGTGGGATGAAGCCCACAACCCCACAGAAGGGTCTCCATATGTAGGTCAAACTGTCTTCAAATGCCAGGTTCTCTTGCTTTGGCCTTCCATGGGGATTACAGGTATGCATAACCATGCTTTACCATGTGGCCAATTGTTTTAAGATGTTTCTCAGGCTTTACTTTATTTTCTGAAAAGTATTTTATTTGGAGCTAGAAAGAGAGCTCAGTGGATAAGAGCATTTGTTTGTTCTTGAAGAAGACATGAGTGTAAGTCCTAGCATGCTCATGGTGGCTCATAACTATCTGTAACTCCAGTTCCAGGGGATCTTATGCCTTACTCTAGCATCCATGGACACAAATGATACACAGACACATACTCGGGTTAAACATTCATACACATAAAATAAATCTTTAAAAAATAATTCTTCTATTTAATACTCATACATGCATATTATTTTTACAGGACTCCCACAAGATGAACCAAAGTCCCAGCATGGATAGGGAGGAGCTTGTGAAATACCACCCCTGTCTGAGAAGATACAATATCTACTGGAGAGGGAGAGCCCCTTTTGTCAGGAATGTGGATTGTGAGATGCAACCGATGATCCAAAGAATTTATTTTATTTTTGATTGTGTATAAGTGTGTGAGCATTTACATGTGAATATAGGTATCTGCCGAGTGCAGAAGAGAACATCCACTCTCTTAGGCTTGGAGGTACAGGTGGTTGTGAGCTGTCTGATGTGGGTGCTGGGAACTGAACACTGTGTAGTGGCATCAGAACAGGAAGTACTCTTAACCACTGAAATCTCCCCAGCATCCTTCACCCACAGTTTGGTATTTGATTGTTTTTACAAACTTGGTATGTTCATGATTTTTATTTGTGACAAACACAGAAGTGGAACAACAATCACAAAAGGTAAGAAAGAGAAGGTGTGTCCTCTCCTATCTTACAGCTTTCCTTTCCTCACTTTAAGCATCCTAATAGTTCCAGTTATATGCTGGGAGGAGGAGGTTTACTGTCTTTTTTTCTTTTTCTTTTTTTTTTTTTTTTTTGGTTTTTCGAAACAGGGTTTCCCTGTGGCTTTGGGGGCTGTCCTGGAACTAGCTCTGGGAGACCAGGCTGGTCTCGAACTCACAGTGATCTACCTGCCTCTGCCTCCCGAGTGCTGGGATTAAAAGCGTGCACCACCACCGCCCGCCCTACTGTCTTTTCTAGGTACTGACTAACTACCAAGAAAGCATCCTAATTTTGTTCTCACTGCCGGACATATGGGTTGTTCTAAGTTCAGCTATGGTAAATAATTCTGCCACAGACATCTCTGTGCAAATGATCTCAGGCCTCCTTGTCTGATTCCGGTAGAGTTTTATGACCAAGGCCAGGAGTGGGTTTATCTGTCAAGGGGAGTGAACAAGTCCTTGAACCCTACAGCAGAACGTAGAGGTGATGAGGTGAGAAGTCAAATGCCTATTTATTTAAGAACTCCTTATTGGAGAGTCTCTGAGCTACTCAGATGAGCAAAGGGTGGGAGTGAGTTTAGTTTGGAACTCAGGTGGAGAATTCAGGATAGAGACTCATTCTGTTTTTCCTTTTAATTAATTGCCTAGCGTAAAGATTCTCCAGAAGCAGAATAATTTGCTATCAACCAGGGGTGGACGATATCCTCTCAGTGTGCCTTGAAGCACATCTTGAGGGGCAACTTCAGATTGCCTCTATTATAGCTCGCCATTTGGTCAGAGGAGGGAATTAAGCAGATTAGTCAAGCTAGGTGCTTTTCTTTACAAAGCCATGGAGGTTATTACTCAAGACCTTGTTATCTCAAAGGTGTTTGCAAATTGATTTTGGGATAATTTGTTCCAGGTAGAGAAGTTAAGTTGGCAGGCAGATAATTTCTGGACTCATCCTTTGTGCATTTTAAATATATAGAGCCTCTGATGGCCATTATCAACTCTCGGGAGCTGCCATCAGTCTCCAATGAGGCCTCAAGGGTGATATTTTGTAGCTCCATGATGACTCTGCCTAATTCCTTAACATAATTATTCACAGACCAGCTCTGGACAGGATGAAGAGCAACCCACCCCAACTCTGTGGGGGCTGAGCAGTGGCTGCATTCAGCTCCTCCATCGACTTTCTAACATGGTTTACTGCTCTCCTATTTCAGGCATTAGCAGTTTTCAATTTCTGACCACCAAAAAGAAAATACGGCATTAATCTTTCCAAACATTTACTCTCTTTTCGTGTATTTCTAATGGTAGGTACAAATACAATAACAAACATCTTGAGTGTATAAATGTCCCCATCTCAAGTGGCTTGCAGGTTCACAAGTTTATGTGCAGTCTAGGCATTGCAGCTCTCTCTCACCCCCTCCCTCCCTGTTTGTCTGATTGTCTGTCTGTCTGTCCTCCCAAAATAGAATACATAAGTTCCATAGTGTTTCCTGTTTTTTTACAGATCCTGAAGGCATCAGATTATTGCTTTTAGCTTTTACATTTTGGTTTATCTCTTTTCAGTGGCATGCTGGTTTAAAACTGGTGTTATTTAGAAGGCATATAGACCAGTGTTAAAAGAAAAAGACAGCAGGGAGGAGAGACAGGACTCTCTTATTAATGAGCTGTATCATTTTTAATGAATAGGAACATTTAATTCTTATCACAATTCTCTTCTATATCTGAGATGAACTCTCCAATAAGACCATGCAAGAAATGCACATGGACATCCAGTCCATCTTAGATGATAGTCATCCTAAAACCTCAAAGACATCCAGAGGAACAGTGAGTCCCAGAAGGCACTACAGAAATGGGATAGGCAGAGCATTAGACCTCAGGGCCAGATTTCCGCCCCTCCATTTCTCACCTTATACTTTAGGTGTTTACACAATTAACCAGAAGTGTCATTAAAGAATGTGTATACCAGGAA